CCCTATCCTGCTCTGCCAGGCTGCTGCTCAGGTTAAGAGTCTGGCAAGAGATTTTAGTGGGGTGACCCCACACTTTTTTTTGTTTTTTTTTGGCATTGGGGTCTCACCTAAAATTCCTACCAGACCTAAGGGGTCTGGTAAGAATTAGGGAGGGGACGCCACGATGTTTAAAAAAATAATAATTTTAACGTTTAACAACATTAATTGCTTCTGAATTACATTCAGAAACATTTTGGATACATTAGTATTTTCGTTATCGGAAAATTCGGATACGTTTGAAATTGTTATTTTGTTCATATGGAAATTTGGATGCATCGGAATGTCCAAATATGCTAAAATTGCATGTCTAATATAAAACTTACACATGATTGAAAATGGGGTCTACTCTAGGTATGTAACCATGGGTATGTGAACTATATGAATGTCAGTATCTATCTATCTATCTATCTATCTATCTATCTATCTATCTATCTATCTATCTATCTATCTATCTATCTATCTATCTATCATTCAGAAAACATTATAAAATCTCCACTGTTTGTTTTATATAAATTGTTAAAAGTGCTACAGTATAGTGCTCATTTTCTGCTAGAAAGTGTACACTTAAAGTGTATTTCCACTGTTGCAGCCAAATTGGGATGGCACCTATTTTATATTTGTTACATGTTCACATTCACATAGCATAAACTTTAAAAAACAATTAAAAATGCTTCTTGCAGTTTATATTGCTTTTACTTGGGCTAGGGTTTCTTGGCTTCAGAAGTGGTTAAAATATCTACTTGGCCTCTCCTTCCTTGTAATGTTAGGAGGGATTATGAGTGGTGAGGGGTTTGCATTGTATGTTAATGAAGTTAAACGAGAAACACAATCTTCAAGTTTCAGTCCTTTCTATTAGAACAGATCACTGTGATGGTGCTCAGAAAAACCTGGATTCAGCCATCTTGCCTGCTGCAACAAAACATCTAAAATGTCTAGTGAGATCTTCCTGTCATATTTTCAAATTCTCTTCCTGTATCACCTGGGATTGTGCTGGTTGTTCCTACCTACCTTTGTGTGTTTCTACAACTCGGGGTTCATTCTCCATAATATAAAGTAAAAGACATAACGGGGAGTCTCTGAGAGCAAGATAAAATTATCACAAGGTATAAACCATAGGCATCTACCAAAAACTGAAATATTAGTTTTGGCTAGACTTATCTGTACATACTTCAATAAATCAGCATATGCTTTATACATCACCATGTATATAAGGCATTTCAATTTCTGGTGACCTGCATATACAGTAATGCCATTTCCCATCCCAATTCCAAACAATTCCAAAAGTTTTGGCTAGCTGTAGGAGGGAGGTTACCAGACTTCTGCTATTTCTTGACTATTTTGAATTTATAAACAGAACTACCATCCCAGCAGATGCAATTACCACCATAGGGCCTTGGGCTTTGGGGTTCATGAAAGCTGCACCTCTCCATTACCTCTCACTATCTGAATCTGTACGTAGCTGGTTATTGTAGTTATTGGCCCATAAGGAGCATGAACACACCCTGTACTTTTTTAAAGGGCAGTCAGCCCAAAACTAATATTTGCTCCTGGCTCTTCGCAATTGCTGTGGCTATTATGAGGGGTCTCAATCTTCCTTTTGGATTAGTAATAGTTTACAGAGAATACGAGGTGCATGCTAGAGCATGCACCCAAAATTACCAGGTGGACAGACGTAAAGCCATGGCAGGGAGATTGTGCTGCTGGAAAATCTAAGACATATAGGACATCACCTATAACTTAAATATTACGTTTGGATCAACTTATTTTTAATAAATACAGATGCAACCAGGTAGTGTGATCTGAACACTTAATTCAATAACGATCATTCTGTCTGTGTTTAATCTTTTGACATGCTGATGGCTCTACAAATTAGCTGCTTGGTAAAATGTGAAGAATTCAGAAATATAACAATTTTAAAACAAAAGCGTAAAACTTACTTGATCTCTTTTTAGTATATTAAGTATGCTATATTTCATTAAATATATTATTAATACTGCATTCTACATTTGAAATTGGTCACATCTTGGTACAATGTAAAATAATATGTCTACTGGAATTCTTATGTAGCTTAATGAAGTTATTCTTTTGATGCTGTGTGCAATTGGAAATGAAACACACATAATAGCCTAGTTTGATTAATCTTGCATTAAGGGACAGCTTTTCTTAGTGGAAAGGAGGCACTCAGCGCTGGAGAGCCATCCAAGTCTTTTAATTACACTTTTTTTTTTTTTTAGTAATGAAGCAGTATGCACCCTATTTAATTCCTTTGTCACCAATGAGTTAAAATTCATGAGCGTCCATGGGCTTTGAATACTTACTCTAGTGCTGCTATTTTCTGCGCCAAGCTAGCCATCACAGCAAAGAGTCGTAGGTCTGTTAGGCCATCTGTTACATAATAGTCCACAATCTCCAGAATCTGGAAGAGTAAAGATGGATAGTGCTGAGATGATGAAGAATTGAACATGAGCAGATTGTTTCTGAGCTTGGAAGGGAAGATAATGAGCTCTGATTGTTGCAAACACAAGCTGCATTAGCATAGTAAACAAAACAAGCTTTAAAATTAAATCATCTGAGTACTAGCAATCATGGAAATACAATTGTGCATGTTTAGCAAAGGTTCTGATATTGGAAAGTTCACAAGCTGCCCTATCTATCTATCTATCTATCTATCTATCTATCTATCTATCTATCTATCTATCTATCTATCTATCTATCTATCTATCTATCTCATATGGGGTCTGGTAAGAATTAGGGAGGGGACGCCACGATGTTTAAAAAAATAATAATTTTAACGTTTAACAACATTAATTGCTTCTGAATTACATTCAGAAACATTTTGGATACATTAGTATTTTCGTTATCGGAAAATTCGGATACGTTTGAAATTGTTATTTTGTTCATATGGAAATTTGGATGCATCGGAATGTCCAAATATGCTAAAATTGCATGTCTAATATAAAACTTACACATGATTGAAAATGGGGTCTACTCTAGGTATGTAACCATGGGTATGTGAACTATATGAATGTCAGTATCTATCTATCTATCTATCTATCTATCTATCTATCTATCTATCTATCTATCTATCTATCTATCTATCTATCTATCTATCATTCAGAAAACATTATAAAATCTCCACTGTTTGTTTTATATAAATTGTTAAAAGTGCTACAGTATAGTGCTCATTTTCTGCTAGAAAGTGTACACTTAAAGTGTATTTCCACTGTTGCAGCCAAATTGGGATGGCACCTATTTTATATTTGTTACATGTTCACATTCACATAGCATAAACTTTAAAAAACAATTAAAAATGCTTCTTGCAGTTTATATTGCTTTTACTTGGGCTAGGGTTTCTTGGCTTCAGAAGTGGTTAAAATATCTACTTGGCCTCTCCTTCCTTGTAATGTTAGGAGGGATTATGAGTGGTGAGGGGTTTGCATTGTATGTTAATGAAGTTAAACGAGAAACACAATCTTCAAGTTTCAGTCCTTTCTATTAGAACAGATCACTGTGATGGTGCTCAGAAAAACCTGGATTCAGCCATCTTGCCTGCTGCAACAAAACATCTAAAATGTCTAGTGAGATCTTCCTGTCATATTTTCAAATTCTCTTCCTGTATCACCTGGGATTGTGCTGGTTGTTCCTACCTACCTTTGTGTGTTTCTACAACTCGGGGTTCATTCTCCATAATATAAAGTAAAAGACATAACGGGGAGTCTCTGAGAGCAAGATAAAATTATCACAAGGTATAAACCATAGGCATCTACCAAAAACTGAAATATTAGTTTTGGCTAGACTTATCTGTACATACTTCAATAAATCAGCATATGCTTTATACATCACCATGTATATAAGGCATTTCAATTTCTGGTGACCTGCATATACAGTAATGCCATTTCCCATCCCAATTCCAAACAATTCCAAAAGTTTTGGCTAGCTGTAGGAGGGAGGTTACCAGACTTCTGCTATTTCTTGACTATTTTGAATTTATAAACAGAACTACCATCCCAGCAGATGCAATTACCACCATAGGGCCTTGGGCTTTGGGGTTCATGAAAGCTGCACCTCTCCATTACCTCTCACTATCTGAATCTGTACGTAGCTGGTTATTGTAGTTATTGGCCCATAAGGAGCATGAACACACCCTGTACTTTTTTAAAGGGCAGTCAGCCCAAAACTAATATTTGCTCCTGGCTCTTCGCAATTGCTGTGGCTATTATGAGGGGTCTCAATCTTCCTTTTGGATTAGTAATAGTTTACAGAGAATACGAGGTGCATGCTAGAGCATGCACCCAAAATTACCAGGTGGACAGACGTAAAGCCATGGCAGGGAGATTGTGCTGCTGGAAAATCTAAGACATATAGGACATCACCTATAACTTAAATATTACGTTTGGATCAACTTATTTTTAATAAATACAGATGCAACCAGGTAGTGTGATCTGAACACTTAATTCAATAACGATCATTCTGTCTGTGTTTAATCTTTTGACATGCTGATGGCTCTACAAATTAGCTGCTTGGTAAAATGTGAAGAATTCAGAAATATAACAATTTTAAAACAAAAGCGTAAAACTTACTTGATCTCTTTTTAGTATATTAAGTATGCTATATTTCATTAAATATATTATTAATACTGCATTCTACATTTGAAATTGGTCACATCTTGGTACAATGTAAAATAATATGTCTACTGGAATTCTTATGTAGCTTAATGAAGTTATTCTTTTGATGCTGTGTGCAATTGGAAATGAAACACACATAATAGCCTAGTTTGATTAATCTTGCATTAAGGGACAGCTTTTCTTAGTGGAAAGGAGGCACTCAGCGCTGGAGAGCCATCCAAGTCTTTTAATTACACTTTTTTTTTTTTTTAGTAATGAAGCAGTATGCACCCTATTTAATTCCTTTGTCACCAATGAGTTAAAATTCATGAGCGTCCATGGGCTTTGAATACTTACTCTAGTGCTGCTATTTTCTGCGCCAAGCTAGCCATCACAGCAAAGAGTCGTAGGTCTGTTAGGCCATCTGTTACATAATAGTCCACAATCTCCAGAATCTGGAAGAGTAAAGATGGATAGTGCTGAGATGATGAAGAATTGAACATGAGCAGATTGTTTCTGAGCTTGGAAGGGAAGATAATGAGCTCTGATTGTTGCAAACACAAGCTGCATTAGCATAGTAAACAAAACAAGCTTTAAAATTAAATCATCTGAGTACTAGCAATCATGGAAATACAATTGTGCATGTTTAGCAAAGGTTCTGATATTGGAAAGTTCACAAGCTGCCCTATCTATCTATCTATCTATCTATCTATCTATCTATCTATCTATCTATCTATCTATCTATCTATCTATCTATCTATCTATCTATCTATCTCATACATATGTAATATACCAACATGGTACATGAATACATGCTATTTTATGACATGAAAACACGATATTAATGACATGGGGAGCTGGACACCGCTATGGGGAACATGTACTACCAATATAAAAACATTTTTATAACTACTGTACCGAGGGGAGAGGGTCCTCCTTTTTATGCGACTTTGAGGGCAATGTGGAAAAAACACCAATCCTTTAAATTATTTGAAGCTAATGGACAGCGTCATTGTTCAAAATAAATATTTACAGAAAAAATAATACAGCGTCACAAAAAAACAACAGTAAAATTAAAAGTGAAAAATATCTAATCAAGGTTTGCCTGGTCTTGGGTTCCGTGTAGGGTTCAATTCACTTGCAGAGTAAGTCCATGATGATGTATCAGAGTCACTGTCTCACAGAAACATGGCTCTCTCAGTGTTCTTACTAGTTTCAATGTCAAATGAGAGCTGCAACTGTGAATTTCAGCAGCTTTTTGCTGGACCTCGAGATCTAACTACACTCAATCAAGGGGTCAGAGGGGTGTGCTAAAAGGGGCTGGAGATCATATTATTACGCTCCAGTGAACACACCCTTACTGACAATTATTCTAAATATGAATTATACTAGTAAAATCTATATTTCCATCTGACAAGGTTTCACAATCTGACAACTAACATATTATTTCCCACGTTCGGGAGCTGTACGGGCTATAGTGAGTAGCCCGTACAGCAGCCATTCGGTTCTACTGAACCGAAGGGGTCCTGGGGCCAAAGCTAGCCGAAGGATCAGCCGAAGCTACGGCTAGATCCTTCGGCTGCTTCGTGAATAGACCCCTAAGTCAGAGAAGCATTTGGCATTTGTATCTTGGTGACTCTTTTAGAGCATCATCCTATATGATTCCGAATCTTTAGCACTAAAAATCAGTAATTGGCTCCTGCTTTGGAGTACTTTCTCAAAGGAGAAACTTGTTGTCTCTACAAGTGTTTTGCTGAACAAGGCTTGAAGTGAGATTGTAAGTTCTCAGTTGGGCCTAGCTTCTGGTGGCCCCCGAAAGTAGCATGATTTGTTGGCCAGAATAAGTAGTATTAGTAAGAAGTATTAAGATTCCTTAATACTTGTTATGGGCACTGGGTTCCTCTTAAGTGTATGTCATGACAAGAAAATTGGTAGTGTGGGGATGATTTGTCAGTTCTGTGCACGACACGACCGCTGTGCCCCTTTTAGTTCTGCGACTGACTCCAAGCTGTAGAGGGACTACAAATTCCAGCACATTATACAGCAATGCAGAATACCACCAACTATGGAGGACTATAAATCCTAGCAATACATTATACAGCAATGCAGAATAATAGTATATAGTATATTAATTTGCTACATACTCTATGCTGCTCTGCTCTGGGGTGTCAGCCTGATGTCTTGGTCTTGGAGGGTCTCAGGAGGGCTATCAGTGCATCTCTGGTTTGAAAACATTTGTAGGCATCAGAGGTCAGCATGTTACGCAGTGCAGCAGTCAGCATGTAACGCAGTGCAGAGTTTAGTATGTAACGCAGTGCTGAGGTCAGCGGTCAGTATGTAACAAAGTGCAGCAGTCAGCATGTAACACAGTGCAGCAGTCAGTATGTAACGCAATGCAGTGGTCAGCATGTAACACAGTACAACGGTCAGCATGTGACGCAGTGCAGAGATCAGCATGTGGTGCAGTGCAGAGGTCATCATGTAACACAGTGCAAAAGTCAGCATGTAACGCAGTGCAGAAGTCAGCATGTAATGCACTGCAGAGGTCAGCATGTAACACAGTGCCGCAGGCAGTATGTAATGCAGTGCAGCAGTCAGTATGTAACGCAATGCAGCAGTCAGTAACGCAGTGCAATGGTCAGCATGTAATGCAGTGCAGCAATCAGCATGTAATGCAGTACAGTGGTCAGCATGTAACACAGTACAGCGGCCAATATGTAATGCAGTGCAGCGGTCAGCATGTAACGCAGTGCAGCGATCGGCATGTAACGCAGTGCAGCAATCTGCGGTCAGTATGTAACGCAGTGCAGCAGTCAGCATCTAATGCAGTGCAAACGGTCAGCATTTAACGCAGTGCAGCGGTCAGCATGTAACGCAGTGCAGGGGTCAGCATGTAACGCAGTGCAGCGGTCAGCATATAGCGCAGTGCAGCGGTCAGCATGTAACGCAGTGCAGTGGTCACACAGAAAGAAGAGGGACTTACAGTGACTCTTTTCCTCTCCTGTTTCAGATGCTGTGCCATCTTCTTTTCCTCTCCTGGTGGGGGTGGTTGGGAGGAGCAGCAAGGTTTCCTGCACGTTTGGAGGTGATTCCAGCCACTTCCTGCTGTCCTCCCTTTAGAACCCAGCAGACAGGCAGTAGGAGTGCAGTCTCCCTCCAGCCAATAGCAGAAGAAGTGGGCGGAGGAAGCTCTTGAGGAGCCTGCGCACCACACGGGCTGATCAAGGGCAGTGCAGAGGTCAGCATGTGATGCAGTGCAGAGGTCAGCATGTGGCGCAGTGTTATGTCCTAAGTTTCTTCTTCTCCTTCCAGGCTGCTGCAGGAGCAGAGCGGCCGACAGGGGAGAGATGAACAAAGCGATTGCTGCTGTGCCGGCGGGGGCCGTTTGTACATTCACCAGAGAGGCCCCGGGGGCAATTGCCACCCTGCCCCCTGGCCCAGTCCGCCCCTGCTCCAAAGACATGCTGGAAGGTTAATTGGCTCCTGTCCTGTCTGTATACATGTGTGATTAGTACCTTAGATTGTAAGCTCCTTTAGGGCAGGGACTGATATGAATGTGCAGTATGTAAAGCACTGGGTATGTTGGCGCTATATAAATACCTGTATTAAATATACTTATATCTATGAGTCACCAAAGGAAACCTGTCATGGTAGAAATATGGAAATTCTAATTGCCTGACAGCCTTTGGCTTCACTGACCTGGAACAAATATGCAGGAAGTCAAATTAGAAATCTAGATTTGTAAACTTGTTCCAGGTCAGTGATTCACAATTATTGAAGCTAGAGGAAATGTATGAATGGCAGACAACTAATAATTGCATAGATTGCTCCAGAATTCTAGCCTACATATTTTATCACAACAAGTTTTTCTAAGTGTTGGTAAAAAAAACAAAGAAAATTACTTCTATTTTATATTGTTAGCAAGTTTACCTCTCCTGTTCTTGCTAGATAGTTCCACACTTGCAGAATCATAAACTAGCTTGCACACACACGATAATGCAATGAAGCACATAAACATATATAGATTTCCTTAAAGCAGAACTCCAGGCAAACAGCTGAATACAGGGTCAAAGGGCATATTGGAGCTGTTTTACCTTGTAACGGATTTGTAATTCTGTCCAGATAGCCCTGAGGTTTACTTAGTCCTACCAAACAATAGAGTCAGGTTGGTGACTTGAAGTAAAGCAAAACATTTCTCTTTTTGTGCCCCCAGTTGGGGATTGGACAGTGACTGAGCAATGCCAGACTGATGAAATTATTGCTTGCTCACTTTGCTCTCTCCTTTTTTTAGTACAGTTGATTGTCCCCTAGTGCTGCCCATGCTTCTCCTTGTCTGAATGCTGTTGGACAGGGAATTGATGAGAGGCTGATACCAAATCAAATTTAGGTATTTACACTGTCTACATTTAAAAATACGGAGGTATCTTTCCCCTTCTGGATCCCCAGCAGATCCAAACAGACCTGTTATGGAGAATGGAAAGAAACAGCGGACTACAAGTGCAGTGACATTGCTGCACTTGTGCCATCGTGGACATATCAACATTCAGCTAAGTGAAGGTGGCGGTTTGAGGATGGGGAGTTGAGGTATGCCCCCATGTTTCATGTTATGTCCTAAGTATATTTGCAACAGGTACACTGAAAGTAATAAATGTTTTTTCTTGCTAATTACCTGGCTTAAAATATTGTGATGATGATGTATAAATAACCTTTTTTTTTACATCTTTGCTGAATAAGCTGGCTGCAATTTGAGCAGCTTGTTTATATCTCTGTGAATAATTAACCCGGTGGAGTCAGTAGTAGCTTAGAGAATGAGCTAAGGTTGTACTGACTTCAATTCACCAATCATGTGCAAGAAAAAAATCCTGCTTTTCTTTAAAGTGATATTAATGTGACACTAAACTCAAGAGTTAAACCTTTAAAATGCCATCAAGTGCCTTAACTATTAACTGAAATGTAACTTATTTGTGTATCACTTGGCTGTAGATCCTGAAATCATCTTTAAATTGGTGTCCTTCCTTCTGGAGGGTGGCTACTTTTCTTCTCCATGGTCCTGTGTGTGTTACAAGGTAGCCACCGCTCCAAGCTCACTCCCATAATGGACTACAATCTCATGGTTAGTTTACTAATTTGTTTTGAAATAATAGTCTAGCATGGGAGCAAGCTTGGAGCAGTGGCCCATGGACAGGGACCATGGCGAACAAAAGTAGCAACCCTCCAGAAGGAAGGACAGTGTCAGCCCCAATTCAGAGATGATTTGCTGATCTACAGCCGAATGATACACAAATAAGATCCATTTTTGTTAATAGTTGGGGTACTTGAATGTATTTTTAAGATTTAACTCCTGAGTTTAGAGTCACTTTAAAGTCAAAAAGGTTTTTAAGCAATTTCAAATGCTGATTAAATCACTTACAATGGATGTTGCTCCTTGATGTTTAAAATATTTAGTTTCCTATAG